TGGACAGCTGAGTCCCTGCTGGCGGGTCCCTGGGCGCCCCGTGCTCTCTGATCCCAGGACCCTGACCATCACCCCACCCGCCCAGTGCAGGCATCCTAGCTCGGGATCTGTGCTCTAATCCTCTAACCCAGCGGTCGGCAAACTCATTCCTCAGTCAGCAGAGCCAAATATCAACGGCACAACGACTGACATTTCTTTGGAGAGCCAGATTTTTTAAACTCAAGCTCTATAGGTAGGTACATTGTTATTAACTTCATTAGGGTCCTCCTAAGCTGGCCTTTCCTAAAAACCTCCTCAATCTGAGTGAGGCATGTGGCTCTGGAGCCGCGGTTTGCCGACCACTGCTCTCCAATTCCTCGGCTGCTGCATGGCCCACAGCTTTTGTGATCTGGGCATCCTCGTTTGTGGGAAAAAAGGAGCTGAGCGAGACTATCATTAAAACTACGATTTCTCAGTTCTTAAGCCTTTGTGGCTGATGGGGGAACTGGTCACCAGGAGGGCAGCTTTGAGTGGCTGTGCCGGATGGGTGTGCGGGCGCCCTGCCGGTCCCCGGGGGCTTTCCAGCCGTTAGGATGTGTTCCATTCCTCTCTCTGTCCGAGCAAATCAGACAGGACTGCGAGCGGGCTTCCACGTCTGAGCCTCTGTCCAAAGCCATTAGACTGCTTTTCATGACTAAGGCAACTGGACGTTGTTACTGTCCAAAGTCGATGAGCAAAGAGCAAAGAACCACCTGAATGTGCACAACGAGTTTCTGTAGAAGATGCACCGTCTGATTGCACTTAGCTGGGGGGAGGTGGGTAAGTGAAAACCCCGCTTTTTTAAATTTGGTGGTTTGGTGGTTGAACTGATTTAGTTTTGACACAGGGAATTGTTTCTGATCATGGGTTCGCAGCATGTTTCTAAACGCTCCCGTTGATTAATTTTGTTTAGGTCTTTGAATTCGTTAAAATGCTTAACTATTGACTGTCTCTTTGCCAAGTGGGAAGGTATGGATCATTGATCCCCTAATGCGAACCTTCATAACAATTACGGCCGTGAAAGAAGTTCCGGCGTCGGACCTCAGGGTACATTTGGTGGGAAGCGGAGAGCCACTGGGCCCGCCTAAGAAATGCCTCCATGAGCCCAGTGGGCTGCTCACATTTGATAAAATGTGTGTAGAAGGAAGATAGGGGCAGAGGAGGAGGGAAAGAGGGAGGAAGGAGATCTTCCTGGCATCTGTATGTACAAGAAAATCTCCTTTTAAAAGTAGATATTTTTACTGGTTCCAGAGAGGAAGGGAAGTGAGAGGGAGAGAGAGATAGAAAGAAACATCGATGATGAGAAAGGATCATGGATCAGCTGCCTCCTGCATGCCCCCCTCTCGGGATGAAGCCCACAACCCAGGACTGTGCCCTGATTGGGAATCGAACATGGACCTCCTGGTTCATGGTCGATACTCAACCACTGAGCCACACCAGCTGGGCAGGAAATGCTCCTGGAAGAGGAGAGAGCGCTCGCTATACTTTGGTTTGTGCTCTTCTCCCACCAGGAGGTTCTCAGTGCCGCTGGGCTTGATGAATGGCCCACAGAATAACTCAGCACGTGTGGGAGCCCCTTTCACATCCCACGTGGTTCAGGGTTCAGGTTCAGGGTCCGGGTTCTAGAGAAGGCAGCCCGCAAATGAAAGAGATTAGAAAAGTATTAATTTGGGAAATGGGGGACCAGGCGGGAGTCCACCTCTAGGGGCAGGACTACCACTGCTCTGGCTTTGGTGTCCCTTTTATTACGATTATGGGATACACTTATATCCTTTAGGCAAGAAATTCCAATAATAGCCAATCAGCAAGAATTTACATATTATTAACAGGTTTAACTACCAATGTCTCAACTAAACTATGAGTGATTAGCTCTGACCATTCAGAGCAATTATGGTTAACCAGCCTTCCGGATTCCCTTTTCACATTTCTCAATTAGCGTCAATGATTGGTATCTGGCAAGCATGAATGAATTAAGCAGGATGGACAAGGTGTGTGTGTGTGTGTGGGGGAGATGCAGATTCCCCTAAACTGTCATCTGTATGGCTCTAGCTCTTTTGCTGAGAAGTAAAGACATATTTATCTGGAAAGGAAGGATTTTACAGGAGTCAGTCCTAGATGTTACTTTCTCTTACTCTGTGGGGCAGGAGTAAAACAACAAAAATAAGGGAAGAACACGATTTATGTTGATTCGTGAGCGAGAGAGCACACGCTCTCCTCGGAAGCAGAAGGGGAGATGGCAGGCCCCTGGTGATGGATGACAGAAGCCGCGTCCTGCAGACTTTTCTGGGGGACAATAAAAATAAACAACTTTTCGCTCTGGTTGGCATGCCTCAGTGGTTGGGTGTCCACACATGAACCAGGAGGTCACAGTTTGGTTCCTGGTCAAGGGCACATGCCTGGGTTGTGGGTTCAACCCCCAGTGGGGGGCATGCAAAAGATAGCCGATCAATGATTCTCTCTCTCCCTCTTGCTTCCTTTTTGAAATCAAGAAAAATGTATTTTAAAAAATAAATAATATAAACAATTCTTAGGGAAAGAGAGGGTTTTAAAAGCTTAAGCTAGCGAGATGGAATGGAAAGAGTCCCAGGAACCTGATTTGGGCCCGCGAAGGCGGACGGCCTTCCCTCCCTGGCCTCAGGGCTGTCATTTGTGTGGCAGGAGGTCATTGGCCAGATGAGCCCTGAGGACCTTTCAGACCTCCCTGACCTCTGGTCCAGGTGACCTGTCTCCCTGAAGCATTTGGATGATTACTTAGTTATACATATCCATGTCTCTGCCTAGTGAAGTGACGTCCGGAATGAATTCTGATAAAAAGGAAAGCCTGCCCTGACCGGTGTGGCTCAGTGGATAGAGCGTCGGCCTATGGACTAGAGTCCCGAATTCGATTCCAGTCAAGGGCATGCACATTGGTTGCAGGCACATCCCCGGTAGGGGGTGTGCAGGAGGCAGATGATCAATGTGTCTTTTTCATCGATGTTTCTAACTGTCTATCCCTTTCCCTTCCTCTCTGTAAAACATCAATAAAATATTAAAAAATAAGGAAAAGGCTACTGTGGCATATTCCTCAGCAGCAGAAATTCAAAGCCAAACTGAGGGCAGACTGGAAGAAGGTGGGGCTGGGCACCTGAGGGTGAGCTACAGGGCGCAGAGGTGCTGTGGTACCAAGTAGAACTTCTCTCTGAAATGTAAGAAGAAAACTTCTTATTTTAGGATCAGGAATTATTTAAACAGGGCAAAGGGTAGATCATTAAAACCTTACGGGCTAGGAGGGGTCTTGAAGCATAATTACTTACTCCTGCTACACCAAACACAGGTTAGCAAATTATGCAATTTGAGGTAGACCAAAATTACGCTGTTCTGGGGAAATAAAGAAAAAACATTGGCCTCTGTGAGCTCTAGTCTTTAACATTTTTTTTTTTTTTTTTTTTTTTTTTTAGGGGAGAGATTATTTCTTAAAAATTAAGAAAACCAATAAAGGCCAGATATATATAACTAAAGCACAAATTAAGTATTCAAAATAATATTGAAAGAAAGGGAATGCAAAGGAAAAATTACATTACTGAAAATAGCATAGGATTAGTAGTAAATGAAGATCATAATTCTAAAGAATTAAAAATTCTAAATTGTATGAAAAGATAATATTGGTCAACAGAAAAATTAAAAGATAATTATAAAGAAATAAAAACAAAATGAAATGTGTTGCCATTATTATGAATCTTCTGCTCAAATAAAGCAATCATTCAAGATCAAATAAATTAGAACAGTCAGTATCGAATCACCTTGGTAAACAGAGCAGGTCAATAAATATACATTGATTGGCTGATTGAATAAAAATACTTGCAGTTATTTTAGGAAAATCAAAGTCACTAGGGGAGTCGTGTATGTAATTTCTTAAATGAAGCAAGTATGAATTTCCTTTCAAAGTAATAAAGTACAAAACCTTTCCAAATAGTTTCTTTTAAGTCCTAGGCAATGAAATGTTGTAAAAACAGTGTTTATATGTACAAATACTTAAATTGGAAACACGCAAAATGTATGTGAAAATAGAAATGTTTTCTGTATAAAGAAATTATGTTTTACATCCGTAATGGGGAAAACTCTATGGGATGAGTTTACCTTTACAAAAAATGCAATCCTTTCCTCTGAGTCTAAGCTAATATTGGAGCACACATTTTCATTTCCTGAAGTGGGTTCTTTTTTTTTTTTTTTACATGTGTGATCAAGATATTGATGGATGACTTCAAGACCCTAAGTCCAAATCAAAACCCAGTCTGAAGTGGCTGGCATTGATGAGAGGCCTTTCCTACTGTAAGTTCCCTCAGTCTGGGATGAAATATGGAGCCGGCCTTGCAGATATGTCACTAATTAATTCACCACGCACGGCTGCTAGTCAGTTTGGGCAGCCTACATTGGCGCCTTGGATACAAAAATTAATAAGGTGCTAACTAATGAATGAATTCGAATCATATGTCGTTAATTTAGAATTATAAGCCTACAGGAAAAGGGGATGATTTGCTGGGAGTAAAAAAATATATATCAAAACAGTTTTCTATTCAGTGTGTGTGTGTATGTGTGTGTGTGTGTGTGTGTGTGTGAGAGAGAGAGAGAGAGAGAGAGAGAGAGAGAGAGAGAGAGAGAGAGAGAGGTTGAAAGAGAGAAAGAGCAAGCAAGCTGTAAGAGGTGTGATGAATAAAGAGAGAAGGTCAATGACGTGTCTAAGGTAAAACATGGCATTTCTGGGCGGAAAGGAATTCCAATCCACCCTCCCTACAGCGAGACACTTCCCTGTCCAGCAGTGGGAGTGTCTGTGAAATGGGGTCCCCACCCCAAACCTACAATCATCGCAGCCCCGAGGGGGACAGGCCTCCATGGCTGCCCTGGCCTGTGTGAGGATTTCTTGCTGACTGTTTTTGTCAAAGTTAAATGTACTGTTAATAGCAGGATTTTTTTTAAATGAAGGTATATAATAATTATTATTTTTCAAAAATATGGAACACTTCACGACCTTGTGTGTCATCCTTGAGCAGGGGCCATGCTCACTTTCTCTGCATTGTTCCAATTTCAGTGTGTGCGCTGCCAAAGCAAGCACTCAGGAATGGTTTTTGAAAACTAATGTAGAAGATGAAAATTTAATGTAAACCTCAAGAAATATTATATTTTTAGCCTCATACATTTATCATAGCAGCAATTATTACAAATATTGTTTTCTAAAGTTGATACTCAAAAGAGCTGAAAACAGAACCCCTTCTGCTTACTACCATTTGATTATTATTTTTTAGTTAATTACTTTTTCTGAATCTATATTAGGGGTGTCAAACTCAATCAGAGAAGGGGCCAAAATCTAAAATCCAGCCTAAATTGCGGGCCGAATGGTTTACTGAACAGTCATAAACTGTCATTGTGATGGAAACGCAGCGGAGTGCAGTGATGACAGCGCAGTGCGGGCCACATTGCAAGGCCTGGCGGGACGGATTTGGCCCGCGGGTTTTGTGTTTGACACATGTGATCTATATCAACACACAGTTAATTCTAAAAGCTATTTGGAGATCTTTATTTTGAAGTCTTTTTCCCTGCTTGCATTAAAAAATGAGTTAAAAATTCTTTCATAGTACTTAGAGCAGTGGTTCTCAACCTTTCTCATGTCTTGACCCTTTAATACAGTTCCTCATGTTGTGGTGACCCCCAACCATAAAATTATTTTCGTTGCTACTTCATAACTATAATTTTGCTACTGTTAATGAATTGTAATGTAAATATCTATGTTTTCCGATGGTCTTAGGGTTGAGAACCACTGCTGTAGAGCCTAAGACCATTGGAAAACACAGATATTTACATTATGATTCATAACAGTAGCAAAATTACAGCTATGAAGTAGCAACGAAAATAATTTTATGGTTGGGGGTCACTACAATGTAAGGGTCGCATTGTTAAAGGGTCACAGCATTAGAAAGTTGAGAACCGCTGATTAGAGGAAAGGAAAGAAATCGATATTCATTAGATATTCACCTTCCTGCTATTGTGTTTGTGAACGTTCACAAGAGTGGGAGTTAAAGCTTGAGAGGTGATTTCTCCTTTAGGAGTATCATCCATGTGGGCCTTGTTCCAGATATGTGGAAATGATAAGTTTGTTAATCATAATATAAGGACCCCTTATGTCTGCATCTCTCTCCTCCTCTCTCTCTCTCTCTCAGAGTAGCAAGTCAATTATTTTTGTTTCTAGCCTTTTAAATGAAAATCATAACTCACCCGGTAGATGTCTGATTAGATTTAGGGTTGTGGTACACTTAATTTCTGGAGGGATTGTGAATGTGGTTCTGAATGAACCTTTCATTTGGCTGACGTGATCTGAAGCGGGAAGACTCCCTGAGATCTTAAGTTTTTGCCATTGGCATTCCCACTAACATCGTCCATCTCTTTGGACGTTTCCACCCGGAAGCAACAGCAGCTCGGGGACTCGCTGGGTCTGCGTTTCCTAAAGCGGTGTGCCCCGCTGGACCTGCACACCCCGAACTGGATCCCACGGGCTCGCTGATGACAGGAAACAGAGGCCCTCGCTCATGGCCTGAAGAATACTGGCAGCATTCCTGGTGTCTGAGATCGGTTTTCACTATTTCGCTGCTGTTTTAATCATGTTACAAACCTGCGGGCTGTCCAAAACCCTTAGCGGTGACATCGTTCACGGGAGAAAATGCATCCTAGAGGGATGTAGGAAATGTGTCCGCTAAGAATTGCAAGAATTATGATAGAGGGTGATTTAGTCAGAGGTCCCGTAACAAAGTACCACCCACTGATGGCAGAAGCCACAGATGCTTATTTTCCCACAATTCCAGAGGCTGGAAGTCCAAGATCAAGGTGTTGGCAGGGTTGGTTTCTTATAAGGCCTCTCTTTCCTTGACTTGTGGTTGGCCCTCTTCTCACTACGTCTTCACATTGTTTCTCCGTGTGTCTGTCTGTGTCCTGATCTCTTCTTAAAGGGCACCAGTCATATTGGAGGATGGCCCATCCTCATTTCATCTTAATCACAGCCTTACAGACCTTATGCAGTCACGTGCTGGGGCCCTAAGGGTTAGGGCTGCGACATGTGAATTTGGGAGGGAACACTGTACAGCCCAAAACAGGGTGTAAGTAAAAACACCTGGAAATTAAAAGAAAGCTATTCAAATGTTTATCTGTGCAGATCGGAACTCACTGAGCCTCACACAACCTTGAGTCTCAAAGTTTTCTTGTAGACCAGACTCAGAATCCCATCGTCCGCTCCCTTTTAACCACCCTACTCATCATCCCTACTTTCTTATACTAGCTTACATAAAGTTTGCGAGACCTAGAGACCCTTACCCACCCCTCGCCCCCTGCCCCCCAAAGTGTAAGGGCATAGCAATCGTTTCAAGGAAGCTGACTTTAAGAGTGACGGAGTAGCACATACATTACCAAGTAGTATTCAGACTGATTACGAACGTGGCAGAAAAGGAATATAAGAGGCAAAGTAATTGTAACCTTTCATTGAAGGTCAAATTATTTTAATTTTGTTGAAAGTCACTGATTATGAGATCTGTTCCCATATAGTTTTAGGAAATGTTTCTCTCCATTTACTCAGAATCACTGCAAACAACCATGTTTAAACAATGCCACCAAGAAGGGAACTATTGTGTGTGCGTGTGTGTGTGTGTGTGTGTGTGTGTGTGTGTGTGTGTGTGACAGGGGGAGGGGTTGTTTGCCTGCTCTCAAGATATTAGACCACTTGGTGGTACTTCCTGTCCGTCCGTCCACATCCACATGTCGCCTTCCCCACCCCTCACTGGCAGTGCTAAGGATGTCCTACTGCAGCTTGGGCCCGCTCCCCATCAGGAGGCTGACAGATGGACATCCCCTGAGGGTCCCGGACTGGGCGAGGGCACTGGCTGGGCTGAGGGACCCCCACCCCCAGTGCACAAATGTCATGCACCGTGCCTCTAATACATCAATAAGAAGAAAACAGGGTCTGACCACAAGAAACGTCAGGGAAAGAGATGGGCAATTGACTTAACCCTGAAAGTGTGGTTGGGCAGAATAAACAAAACTTCTAGAAGTGACAGTTAAATCCAAATTTGAAGATTGGAAAGGAGAAAAGGGGAGTTTTGTCATTAAAAACACACACACCCATCTATGAGGAGATCCAGGGGTAGGAGAGAGCATGGCATGTTTGTAGAACAGGAAGTAGCTCTATGTGGCCAGAACATAAAGCACAGTGGTATGAACAACGTGAAGGTGCAGGTGTTAGGGGTCTTGCATGTTGCTTTAAGGAATCTGATCTTTATTCCAAAAGCAATGAGGAGATTGGGGAGTAAGCAAGTGATAGCAATTCAGTGCACGCCGGCTGCAGTGCGGGAAGTCCCAGGGCTGGAGGCAGAGGGGGGGGAGAGGGCCGTTGCATTAATCTAGGCAGCGATGAGAGTGGCTGAATAAATGCCTCGGCGCAGGCCTGGAGAGGCGTGCGGAATAGAGAGATGTAATCTAGGGAGAACTTGCCGGTGGCGACTCAGGTAGTGTTATATATCAAACGGAACCTCAGGGCACGGAGAGCTCTGCTTATCAGCACTCAGCCGAACTTTGAACCTGTTATAACCCCTCAAAAATTTCAGTCAGGCATTTTTATTATTGCTGACATAGTCGCTGATACGGATTTCGTGAAAGACCAATGCAGTAGTCTTTGTAATGACTTGGACTAGGTCTGTCAGTGTTTGCTTAAAATAAATAGTTGCTGGGAGAATTAATCAGCTGCCTCTTAAAAATAATATACCTGGCCCTAGCCAGTTTGGCTCAGTGGGTAGAGCTAGGCCTGTGACAGAAGGACCCTGGGTTCATTCCAGTCAAGGACACATACTGCAGTTGAGGCTTCTCCCCAGGCCAGGCCCTGGTCAGGATGCATGCAGGAAGCAAACAATCGATGTTTCTCTTTCACACCAATGTTTCTCTCTCTCTGTCTCTTCCCCCTCCTACTCTCTCTAAAAATCAATTGAACAATATCCTCGAGTGAATATTAAATCCTATATAATAAAAGCCTAATATGCTAAGTGTCTGGTCATTTGGTAGTCTGTTCAACCAATCAAAGCATAATATGCTAATGATATGCTAAGGCCATTCAACTGCTTGCTATGATGTGCACTGACCATCAGGGGTTGATGCTCTGACCGGTAGGTTAGCTTGGTGTTAGGGTTTGGCAGATCAGGACTGAGGAAGATAGGCCAGACACATCCTGGAGTCCTCCCACGTCCTTTCTGCATCCTGGTCATGCACTGGTGGGGTTCCTCAGCCTGGCCTGCACCCTCTCACAATCTGGGACCCCTCAGAAAATGTTGGAGAGCCGGTTTCAGCCCAATTCTGCAGGCCAGGCCAATAGACCCCACTGGTGCACAAATTTGTGCACCAGGCCCCCCCCTCCATATATATATATCTTTCATGATAATATAGTTCTATTATATGCTTTTCACCTTTACTTTATCATGCAGGATAAATGCTAATCTTCAGCAGAAATAAAATCATAAAACTTAATATTTAGAAAAGTAATTTGTAACAATTCCTTGTGGTGTGTGTGTATGGTATTCCAGTAATGGATTTAAAAGGTCCCCATGAACCATCTGTTCTTTTTTTACAAATTAAAAATTCTTACAAGTGCTATTTTTATGATCCTTAGCATCTGACTGTCTCCTTTTTCTGTTTGTAGGTTGCTCAGGGTGCAGTGAATGATGAGTAAGATGTCACATTATTTTGGTCAGTGACATGCTATGCTTAGTGAGAAGAGTGTTCTTTTTAGGACCTCGAGGTGACATTCGCCAAGTCACCAAGAGTGTGAATCTAGATGACTTCAAAAACACTGCCCTAGTTCCCAAAATATTCAAAAAAGAGTTACTTGCAACACAAAATAGCATTATAAATATTTTTGATAGAAAGAGGTACTTAAGGAAGTAAAATATTTAAAGATATTTAGGATAGGACAGCAGTAAAGACCTTTAAAAACCAGTTACATTGGACTGGGGTCATACATTTATTTTTGACTACACAGATTTACCTCATTAAGTTATTGATCATCCTTCAGTCCCAAAGAGAACAGGT